CCATTCTGTAATATAATTTTATGATTTCATATGGAAATGAGAAAAATAAAGTTAATAAGATAAATTGTTTGTGGTATAACATATTACATATAAAAGAACCATCCTTTACTCTGAGATTATCTTTCTGACTGTTGTTATAAAATATTATTGCTATTGTGAAATGATGGTGGTAGATGATAATTTTTCTTTGTATTTTAAATGCCAACTTTCCTAGATAAAAATTTGAGAACCCTTCTTTGATATCCTACTTTTAAAATTTATTTCTGCAATCCAAAAGTATGGACTTAGTTGAATTAAATCAAGTTAAACATCTAATTTCTTCTTTACATGATGATATTTCTTTTTCTGTGTCCTTCACCAGAAACATAGAAACATCAGTGATGTTCAACCCCATTTGGACCATCTCCTACACTCTGGAGGCCATGGGCATTCCTCTGCTGGCAAGCCTTCATTTACACACAGTAGATCCAGATATAACCTCCATCCCCACAAGTCACATAAACCTGGATGCCCACCTCCTCTGGACGACAAAAATCACTCAGACAGACCACCACTTCAAGAAGGAGCTCCTTCTTGACTGCCCCCTTCAAGATGTCATCTTCCTTTTTGGCACCAATGGCACACATGCACCCCCTCATAATCATAGTTCCAATGAGCACCATTCCCATGGACAGTGTCCTCATGAGCATCATCCTCATGGACATCATCTCCATAGACATCATCCCCATGGACACCATCCCCATGGACACCATCTCCATGGACAACATCCCAATGGCCATGGTTTTAATGACCATGGACCCTGTGACCCACCACCCCATAGGCAAGGTCCCCAAAATCACCATCACTGGGGCCATGGCCCACCACCTAGGCACTCAGAAGAAAAAGGTCCAGGCAAAGGACACTCCCTTAAAATGGAGACAAATTGGATATGTTTACCGACTCCCTCCATTAAAGAAAGGTGAAGTTCTTCCTCTTCCTGAAGCCAATTTTCCCAGCTTCTCATTGCCAAACCACAACTATCCTCTAAAGCCAAAAATTCAGCCCTTCCCTCAATCAGCCTCTGAATTATGTCCAGGGATGTTCAACAGTGAATTTTCACAAGTTTCAAAGTTTTTTGAAGAGACATTTCCAAAAAGAAATCTGAGTTCCTTGAAAAATGAGTAATGTTCTGAATTAGAACCATAAATAAAATGTAACCAATAATAAATGCAACATTACAAGTTATTGTAATCTTAACTTTCATATTCAGAATAGGACAAAATGTGGGTAGGGGAGGAGATGACGTGAGAAGAACAAGAAAAATGGAGAGGAGAGGAAAAAATCTTAGTGTCCCAAGTCAAAAGTTAATTCTCTCACTGGCTACTACACCACTCAAAACAAACTTTTGATCCTCAGAATTTCTTTACTTTCTGGGCTAAACTCCTTTAATTTTAGCATCACGATCCCCTTTTAGTATTTATGTTGTAGCTGGGCACCCCAAGAAATCATGTATTGTCATATAAAGGATTGTTCTTATAAAAGTGTTCCAAATTCTCTCCTACTTCTTATTTCTAGTTCTCTATATCATCTTTATTTTGGGAAATAAGTTTCTTAATTTAATTATGAAGCAAAAAAAGCTCAGGATATAATTTTCGAAGAAGTTTATAGGCATGAATCATGACCATAAATTCAAGTGCCCCAGAAATAACACTTTATTTTCAAAACATTAATTTATATTTCAAGTTGCCATCCTGCTGGGATAATAGAAAACTTAACCTCAGTCCTCTTAGAGTTTTCCCTCCCTGCTCCTCCCCACACAAAGTTATGCCACAGCTCAAGATTCTCATATAGTCCCAGGTGTTTGTGTGGTGGGCATAAGATGGTCTGATTCTTTATCACTGGTTTCCCAGGTCCCTCTACTAAGGGATGCTTACTACCCTGTCCACATCACTCTTTGGGTCTAGTGTATCTGCTTCTTCTGAATCAAACTGGGGATGCAGGAGTCTCTCTAAGACTACTGATGAACATGACTCTGAAGAACACCATATTCATCTCCCCCTAGTATCTTGCTGTCTTTCAGGATACATGTCCAGAAAGCAGGACTGAGGGTCCTCTGCTTCCAGACCCCCAGACTCCTTTGTTCTTCTCATATCTTCTCCCATGTTAGGGGCCTTTCTAGTCTCAGAAAGTTTTCTTTATTCATTTTTGAGGCCAGGGGACTCTATTTTCACATTTTCTTTTTCTTTTTCTTTTCCTTCTTTCCAAACCAGATTCAAGCATTTAGACTCAAGCTAATAAGACTTTAGATTCTCTCTATCTGACTTATTGAAGCAGTTCAGGTGTGTGGTGGTGGCAGCAGGTAGATTCTAATGGGGGAAGGGAGAGAAAGAAAAAAACTTAGGGTGAAAGAGACTTGGGTAAGGTATTGAGCTGGGAAGAAAGAGGGACCCACAAGATGCAGAAGCTGAGGGTGGGAGATGACTGATGTGCGTGGTCCAGGAGGAGTGGAAAGGAGCCCAAGGCTGATCACAGTGGGTGCTTCAAGTGAAGACTCAGAAACAGGACCTGGAGATGAAGGTGATCAAAAGATGCAAACTTCCATTGTTAAGAGAAGTGAGGACTAAGGTGAAATTTACAGAATGGTGACTATAGTTAACACTGCTGCATGATTTATAGGAAAGATGCTCAGAGAGTAGATCCTAAGAGTTCTCATCACAAGAAGAAATCTTTTCTTTTTATTATATCTACATGAGATGTTTAATAATAACTAAACCTAGTGTAATCATTTCAAACGATATATAAATCAAAGCACCATGCGGAACACCTTAAACTTACACAGGGATGTATGTCAATTATCCTATATATAAAAGCCTGTGGTTGTGACGCCCTCACGCCATAATGACTGATCACCAGGAGGGTGCATGTGCAACAGGCACACTGCGTGGGCAGGGCTGCGTGTGCAGCGAGGCGTGCATGTGTGGGTGGAGACTTGATGCTGATTCTTGGTGGGCGCTGGCCCAGACTCTGACAGGATGGAGGAGGGAGCTGGATACCCACACCCAGGACATGACTCTGTGTCTCACAGTGCTGGCAGGACCTGACGCTGCTTCACTGCGGGCACAGGCGGGGACTTGACGCTATATCCCTGTGGATGCCGGTCCAGACTCTGACAGGATGGAGAAGGGAGCCAAATATCTGTACCCAGGACCCAGACAGCAGGGCAGAGGGAGCCCCATACCTCGTGGAATCGGCCATTGTTCAGCTTGCTCTCAGCGGCCTGTCAGCCCGGAATCCCATTCAGCCGCACCAAGGATGCAGACGGGAGGGTGGTGGGAGTCCTGTCCCTCACAGAATCAGCCAAATCAATGTTGTTCTTATATCATGTTTTTGTTGTTCTTATATCATGTTTTTGTTGTTTTTATATCATATGTTTGTATTTGTTATATGATGTTATTGTTTATTTATTAATAAATTTATATATTACTTTCATATACATTTTTCTAATTTTCTTTAACCTCTGACACTTCTATTATAGAGAAATGGCAAATAGTGATATTAAAATATTTCTTCTAATTAAATCCCTTTCAATGTGCACAAATTCATGTACCAGGCGACTAGTTCATTAATAAAACTGGAACATGGCAATGGATTCAGGCAGTATAATAAATAGAAAAGCATGTGACTTTGAAGAAGGTCCATCTGGGCTCTAATCCCAATCCTATAATTTATTGATTATAAGATTCTAAGAAAGTCATTAAACCTCTTTGGGACCCATTTCCTTTTGTAAAAAATGGTGATGGTGGCAGCCCATTTCCTCTTTCTCCCTAGAGTAGAGCTAGATGTCATTTCTTGAAACCACACGATGATACCCAAAATATTTAATAATATTTAATAACCCAAATGACACCAGTGCTGACCAACAGAGCAGATACAACAGTCAGTCAGAACGGTCGCCAGCGGTAAAAAACCAGGGAGTCTCCAGCCAAATGTTTGCTCTGCAGAATCACGTTCCTCCAATGGCGTGAATACAGGGATGGCTGCTTAGACAAAGAATAAAGAAAGGTGAAATACAAGAACCCCCCTCCCCGACCGACTGGAAAAAAATGCAAAGCTCAATAACTCACAGAAGCATTTCACTAATGTTTTTTTTTAATTTATAAAGTACTTTCACAAATATTGCTTGAGTTATTGAAAATAGTACCTGGAAAACATGGGATTGAATGTTCTCAATTTATGTCCATTAAATGCATTTATAATATGCAAACACAGTTGCCACAGCTGAATAATGGGGTAAGAAACAATCTCTACTCTAGTTAGCTTACATTGTACTAGAGATTTAGACAAGATACCATTGATTGCTCCTTTTCTAGATTTGTTTTATTACATGATAGCTAAAAAGTGTTTGTTATAGTCAGTAAATTGGGCCTGGGATTAGAACCCAGATCAGCCTCCTCCAAAGTCACATGCTTTCCTGTTTATTATGCTGCCTGTATACACTGGCAAGTCCTGTTTCTGAATCTTCACTTGAAACTCCCACCCTGATCAGCCCTGTGCTCCTTTCCAACTCCTCCTGGACCATGCACATCAGTCATCTCCTCCCTCTCCCACCCTCAGCTTCTCCATCTTTGCGGGTCCCTCTTTCTTCCAAGTCTAAGAACTTATCCAAGTCGTTTTCATCCTTAGTTTCATTTCCTACATCTCCCACCACCCCCTGGCCCTGCCACACACACACTAGAACCTACCTTCTGCCATCATCACACACCTGAAACTGCTTCACTCAGTCAGGGATTCTTAACCAACCAGCCCTAATATTAGATATAATTTATAGGAACAATTATCATGCTCTGCACATATATTATCTCATTACTCCTCAGAAAACCTCATAAGATATTATGATATCTCACTTTTCCAGATGAGAAATGGAGGCTCAGAAAGGCTATATGGCCCTGATTTGCTCAGGATCACATAGCAGTTAAGTAGCAGAACTGGATTGGAATCAAAGTTAGACTTACTGCTGCCGAAAGCCGGTCCATCCTTGCTGCTTGACACAGTCGCTGCAGGGAAGAAACATCTGCACAGCATATGTTTCAAGGGACCTGGCGTATATGGCATACTGTTCTTAATATGTTTGTTCACCTTCTTGGCGCTATGTGTTTTAATCAAGGTCACCTATCCGAGAAAGGTTGTTTCCCCAGGTAGGGATTTTTCCCTGAAGTTAGGGAGGGAATAAAACCCCTTAACTAAATGCCAGGTGGGTAATTAATCACTTTAACTAGGAACAATCATGCTTAAGCTACATAATCTTTACTCCCTGGAATGGAGATAATTAACGCCCTAACCTTTGGAATAGAAATTGATAGGATTAAAATCAAATGGTATAAATACAGATGTAATAAGACAATAAAACACAGAACTTGGCTGGAGATCCTGGCTAGAGATCCTGGCTAGGATGCTGATCAACTGAATGCTGTCTCCGTGTCATTTTTTCTTCCCCGACTCTGTCCACACTTTTGGGGACCCATGGACCTGCTGGGGTTGGACCCCAACATACTGCCAAGCTCATGTTCCTGCCACTCTGCTACAAGGCCATCATTCAGCTCCCATCGATCCCTCTTTTCCAGGGGCTCTCAGGGAAATTGCTTGCCAAACTAGATACCCGATTACCAACAACAAAGAAGCCAAACATCTTTGCGGGGGAAGAGGGTAAGACTTGAAGGCAAACATCTACTAGCCCTTATCTTTAACCTACCTATAGACCGCCTCTCCCTGAATAGTCTAACTTTACCTGAAAGGTCAATTAGGCTTGGTGAATAAAAGACCCCTATAAAGTCCACCAAACCAGAAACAAGAAGGAAAGACAGGGTAAGCAGGCTTCACTCAAACCATCTCTCCTTAAGTTTCTCCCCTGTCTCCTCCACCCTGGGAACATTTTCCTTTCTACAGAAGATCCAGTTGAGTGGAGAGATGCTGGCTTGGCCAGAGACCAGATAGGATGCCCATTTTTTATTTTCAGTCATGCCAATTTCCTGTGTGAGACTCCCTGCACTCACTATGTCCCTGTGCATGTGCTCTCCAGGAGTACAAAGAAATTTTATTGAAAGGGTTCTGCACATGTTGCATTATTGTCACATGTAGTGACCTTCATACATAGCTTTGGGAAAGTCATTTGGGAAAGGGAATAGCAGGTGGTGTGTTTCTTTCCCTTTTATTAGATTGTACTCTGATTTTCTATACAAACTTGTGCAATTACCTGGAAATGTGCTCACACATGCCTCCCAAATGAGAACAAGGATGTCAACGACCCAGTGTTGTAATGTAGCAGCCTGAGATCTGCTTGGGTAATCCAGCAGAGCCATTTGTCCTTTTTGTAGTAATAGCAAATAGTGGAGGGCAGCAGGAAGCCAGGCAGAAACCTGAAGTGCTAAGGCAGAGAGAGGAGAGACAGAAGAGATAAGAGGCTGAAGAGGGTTAACATCAGCCTCCAAGTTAGCTTCCAATTCTTGGTGAAACTCCCAGAGGGAGACTGATAAGTCATGAAGTTACTTGCCATCCTTTTCCTTTGTTCCAGGCTGTTAACAAGTTTTGCCCAAGAGGACCAACCGCAAGAAGTTGACTGCAACGATGAGGATGTATTTAAGGCTGTGGATACAGCTCTGAAGAAATACAATAATGCAAGCAACAGTGGCAACCAGTTTGTATTGTACCGCATAAAAGAAGTCATCAACACGGTGAGTGAGTTAACCTTGAAGTCATTTGGGATTTATGCTATCACTTGAACCCAGGACACACACACACACACACACACACACACACACACACACACACACATACACAGACCATATCACACACACAAAAAACCCCCTTATAATTAAAGGTAGAGGCTTGCAGCTCTTAGAAAAGACCAACCTCACTCTCTGGGCTGGGACTTGGGCAGGGTATGACTAGTCCTCAAGCCTCCAAGGTTGGCCTCCCGGGTGATCAGAGGACAGGTATCCTAGGCTGAAATTAAAGAAAGGTAGATGCAGTCATTTGAAAGGGACTATGTAGAGTGGGCAAATCCAGAAACTCAGTCAGGCCACAGCCAGAGGATTTACTTGGTGACTGTCCTTAAACTAAAATATAAAGACTTCCAGACCTCAAAGGGGAGGAGGTGTTTAAGGGAGTATGTCTAACACATACTGTATAATCTCACATATAAATGGTATCTAAATAAGTCAAACTTAACAGAAGCATAGAAGTAGAATGGTGGTTGCCAGGGACTTTGGGATGGGAGAAATGGGGAGGTGTTTGTCAAGGGTACAAACCTTCAGTTATAAGATGAGCCTCGTCGCTTAGCTCAGTGGTTGAGCATCAACCTATGAACCAGAAGTTTGTGGTTCAGTTCCCAGTCAGCACACATGCCCTAGCTGCAGGCTTGATCCCCAGTGTGGGGTGTGCAGCCAATCAGTGATTCTCTCTCATCATTGATGTTTCTATCTCTCTCCTTTTCCCTTCCTCTTTGAAATCAATAAAAATATATTTTAAAAAATAAGATGAGTAGGTCCTGGGGGTCTAATGTACAGCATGGTGAATAGAATTAATAATACTGTATTGTATACTTGAAATCTGCTAAAGGGCTAGATTTTTTTTATATATATTTCTTTATTGATTTCAGAGAGGAAGGGAGAAGGAGAGGTAGAAACATCAATGATGAGAGAGAATCGATTGGCCGCCTCCTGCACACCCGCCCCCCCCGCCCCCCCGCCCCCCCACTGGGGAATGAGCCTGCAACCCAGGCATGTGCCCTTGGCCGGAATCGAACCTGGGACTCTTCAGTCCGCCAGCTGATGCTCCATCCACTGAGCCAAGCCGGCCAGGGCTAAAGGGCTAGATTTTAAGAGTTCTCACCACACACACAAAAGAGGTAATTATGTTAGTTGACAATATGTTAATTAGCTTATTTGTGGCAATAATTTCACAATGTATACATATAGCAAATCATCTTTTTGTATATCTTAAATATATGTAATTTATTTATACCTCAATAAATATACCTCAATAAATTATATCTTAATAAAACTAGGGTAAATGAGGGACAGTGGGGTATGTCAAGAGGAGTCAGAAAAGAAGTTAATATAGTTCTATTATATTAGATAAAATATCTACCATGAAATCCTGATGGCTGGATGCATCAGGGGTAATAGCAGTGTTCTAGTTGGTTTAGAATATTCTTTATCACTAATGGATACACTCAGGTTGAAGATAAATCCTGACAGGATGTGTGATTCCAAGAAATACAACTGGATGCATCAAAACTATTAGGTTGGGGGGATGGGGTGGAGGGTTTAGTTGTGATTTTTTGTTTTGTTGTTGTTTATATGAAAACATTCAGAATGATGCAACTGAAAGGGAAAAAAAAATCAAAATCAAACAACCTTTAGCTTTATTTCTCTTTAAAGTCAATCATCATCTCTTGATAAAGGAAAGATTAAGCAAACATGGCTCAGAGGACCACTCTTCTCTCCAAGGACATCCCCAGAAAGAGTTTGTCTGCCTAACTTTGAAAATAAGCAAATCAAACACAATACAAGAACACTTAAAGAATGTATATGGCGTTAAGTATCTCTGTGATGGTGCATTCCACAGAACATATGCATATTTGACACACTGCCGTATTGCATAACTGATCTATTTATTATTGCATGCAGATAACCTAACGTTGTTGAGGGAGTGACACCACAGGACATTATAAGTACTTGGTCCCATGGATGCTCTTTTTTGCACTGTCCTTGACATCCCAAGCCCAATGACGTTACTCATACACCATTTGCTTCTCTCCACCAACTTTTTCCGACTACTTTAATTCATTGCAGTCCCTGTTTTCCACCTTTCGTTGTTCCAGTTCAAACGTTAACTAGGGAGACAAAATAACTACCCTGATTTTCTTCTTTGTGGTCATTTTCCTGAAAGTTGGGGCCCAGTCTTTGGCTGTATCCGTATAATGATCTTGGACACTGTAGAAAAAGCATCAAATAGGATCATATGACTTGCTGTCTAGCCTTAGTCAATAAACCTCTGGAACTTTTAAACAAAAGTGCACATGTAAACGTCCTGCATCCAGCATTGTTGAGCTGTCATCAACGTTCTTGTGTCTGTTTTACTGTTACAATATTAGGTAAATATGGAAGCGAAGCCATTCCACAGGGTCATTTTGAAAAAGGAATTCTGGTTCTGTTTTCTAAAGAAATGTAGAAATTCTTAATTTGGATCTATTTATAGTTTCAGCTTTCTTCAGCTGCCAGTGTGTTATCCATCTTTAGCCTAAAAAACCTGGCATAAGAGATTTTTGTTTGTTCACATATGATCCTCATAGACACTTTTATATTTGGAAAATTAACATCTTTCTTTGGGGGAAATTCTTGGTTATTCTGCCATAACAGAATATGTATTAACTTGTAGATTCAGTGGTTCGATACCTATTTAATCACGTGCTGATATTCCAGAAGGATTTCTTGCATGGGTGAAAATAAAGATGAGACAAGGGGGGGTATTTTTGTTTTTGATGTACCCTGTTTAGAAACTAGAAGTCTTGTGTCATGCAAAAGAAAGCAAATTATTTTCAAAGGAAAAAAAGCAAAATTTAAAAAATGCAAACTTTCAATAGTTTGTTCAAATGAATTTCACTATGTCTCTGTGATAGTTTACTTTGGTGGAAGAAAAAAATCCATCCATTTGACATGATGAGATTAAAGAAAACAGCACAGTGGGCTTTTTATCTATTTCTGAAAGTAACATTGAGCCATTCTTACAAACTAGTGTAGTCATGCGAGTCCTGGTGCCCTCGGCAATATTTTATTGGTGTTGTCGTCATTGGCGGACATCTGTGGCAAATGTGTTGTTGTTGGGTATTTTTTTTTCTAAAATGTCCACAGAATCACTATCACCTACTGCTTTATCTAAATCTGAGACCCGAGACCCCAGACGAACCTCGGAACTATCGTGTTTGACTCCATCATCTCCCAGTTGCAAATACTCTGACAAGTGCAGGCTCTGAGAGAGCACTGCCCCTGGACTCAGGAGACCCGGGGTCTGGGTTGGCCTTGCCTTTCCAAGGTGGGAGGCTGCCTGAGCTCTGCCCTCTCTACTTGGGGCTCCTTTCTCTCACCTGCAAAGTGAGGGGCTGGGCAGCAGCACCTCTCAGGTCTCTTGCTGCTCCAACGTGCCAGGATTTTGCATCTAAAAGCTCATCTAACTCAGAACCTTGCTTTAAAAGTTTTATTTATTATTTTATGACATGTTAGAAAAAAATAGAAAACAAACAAAACCAAATAAAAATACTAAAATTACCCATAACTAATCCCATCATCCAGAGATACCTGTTAACATTTTTTTTTCAAAAAAATGACAAAAGAAAGTACTCTTGTTTGTTGGTTTGTTGATTTGTTGGTTTATTTTCTAATTGTAAAAGTACTATATATTTGTTTTCAGGAAATAGTCAGAACATTTAGGAATGTTTATTTAAAGAAGAGAATAAATGATAACCATACATCCACCACTGAGACGATGTTAACAGCTTTGTTGCATAACTTTCAGGCTTTTAAAATCATATATGTACATGTAATTTGGTTTCTACAAAAATAGGCTAATACTATGTATACTACTTTGTTATTTGAAAATACATGTTTATAAATATATTATGAACATGCTTCCAAGTATTTATAACTTTCAGTACTTTTAGTAAATGTTTTGCTCTTGTTGAATTAAATCAATATCAAATATACATAACTGCACCAGATCCCTCTCCAATGGTCTGCTGTTGTCAGTTGAATGAGCCCTATGTATCTTTGTTTGCTTTTTTCCAGGGAGACCATGACATATTTTATTCTGTCAAATACGAAATGAAGGAGGGCGACTGTCCTGTACAAAGTGGCAAAACCTGGCAGGACTGTGACTACAAAGAAGCTGAGCAAGCTGTAAGTGTGATGGTCCAGAGCCTCCAGTTTTCTCAGTCGAGACTGTGGGGTTATTCTGTTAGTGCTGGGGGTGATGAGTACTGTGGAGCCTGCTTATTGTGAGGGGCACATAAATGCTTATATGTGTACAAAAGTGAAATGGTTGATGTCTATTTTCTTGCACAGACAGAAAGGGCATGGGAGGCCAGCAATGAGAGTTGAAAAAGCCCTCCCATGAAGAGGGGATTCCTATGATCAATTGGGTGCTTTATTTCTGCAGACCTGAGTTGGAATTCTACTCTGTCTCTAATTAGCTGACCACTTTTAACCCAGGAGCTCCCTTGTAAAAAGGAAGTAAAATTGACCTAACTTGGAATGAAAGAATATACATATGAAAAGACCTTGTTTTAACAACAAGGAATATTATCCAAATGCCTACCATCTGTTTGCCACACCACAGCTGTTGTTTGGCCTTACCTGAGGGAGTGAACAGCCAGTGTCTGCCAGGAAGGAAGCCACACTTTCCACAGTCCATGGACTCACCTCTTTAATGTGTCAAATGTTATTGGTGGAAATGGGGTGTCCACTGGTGGGAAGTGGGGGATCCCTTTCCCCACTGGATGTTGGGGGTACAGTCCTCACGACATCTTGAGAAAAATAATTTTCTAAGACTCACACTTTATTTGTGTGGAATTCCATATCTGCATTTCTAAAGTCCCAATTCCCTTAAACCAGTCCTAAAAGAGGTGCAGCTGGGGACGCAGCAGAGCCAAAAGCAAAACCAATGTCTCAAGTTTCCATTCCATGGTGGAGCTGGGTCTGGCACAGCATCAGGCTAGTTCCCATCCATTAGTCCATTGTGTGTGTGTGTGGGTGTGGGGGGGACATATGGCTGTGGGCCATGTGGGTGCATGCAGGGAAGTGTGTCCCCTGCAACAAGAGAGCCAGGAGCCATAGTGTGCAAGAGAGACAAGAGAGAGAATTCCTTTGTTTAGGAGTTTAATATCTGAAATCTTCCCGTGCTTGCAGTGGCCACACCGACTATGTTCCCAGGGGTGACTGACAGACAAGTACCTTCCCTAGGTCACCCAGACTTTACTGGGCATGTGTCTATTTGGCCTTCCCTTTGCTCATTTTCAGTTAATAACTGGTTATTACAATGGTATCAAAAGTACCACATCCTCTGTGCAGTTGAAACCTGAAGTTGAACTGTAAGAGGAGAGTTGGGCAGGCTAGTTTTAGGGCACTGTGTTCACCTTGGTGAAAAAGGAATATCTCCAGTGCTCCAAACATAACATTATTTTAAAACCTCACTATCTATATTGCCTCTCCTCCGGACACCTCATGAATATCAATGACTTGTAAATAATAATGATTAGGCTACAAAAACATTCATTCTTGTGTCTCAAAACTCTGTTAGAAAAGAATCTTAAGTTTTAAATAAGAGAAAAGCCATACTTACTAGTAGCAACAGCACTAGGTGCCCTTCTCCATCTGAAAGATTAAGATAAATGGTCTCCTTTTTCTTTCTTTCTTTCTTTCTTTCTTTCTTTCTTTCTTTCTTTCTTTCTTTCTTTCTTTCTTTCTTTCTTTCTTCCTTTCTTTCTTTCTTTCTTTCCTTTCTTTCTTTCTTTCTTTCTTTCTTTCTTTCTTTCTTTCTTTCTTCCTTCTTCTTCTTCCTTCCTTCCTTCCTTCCTTCCTTCCTTCCTTCCTTCCTTCCTTCCTTCCTTTTTTTCCTTTCTTCCTTTCTTCCTCTCTCTCTCTCTCTTTCTTTCATTCTAGGCCACAGGAGAATGCATGGCGGCCATAGGGAAGACATGGAATATGGAATTCTCCGTGGCTACCCAAACCTGCCACATTACTCCAGGTAGCTGATATATAGGGTGGCACTGTCCTGGGGGGAAATGAACCATTTCCATGTGGGGCCAGGAGCATAACCTGGACAAAGCCCTTTCCCAGAGGGCAGTGGATGGCTATGCAATGCTATTTGCAGACTTGGGGGTTGGGGGTCTTTGGTGACAGAGTCCTGAGGTGGGGCCAGGCTCCTGCCAATCATCCCCTGGCCTCTCCCTGAACAGCAGCACTGAATTAGGTGTGTGCAAAGGCCCTGGGAAAGGACTAGAAAACATGCCACATGCTTCAATTGTGGGGGTGTAGTAGAGCCAGAAAAGCACAGGCTTTGAGGTCAGATCTGGTCTGCAATCCTTCAAAAGCTCTTCACATTTTTGGTTTCCCTTTTCCTTAAAAGGGAATCAGAGTAATTCTCACTTCAGAGGGTTATTGTAGACTGAAACTAGATGGTAGGCTTGAAGTTAAAGCATAATAATTAATTGATGATCATCAGAATAAAAGCAATCATAGCTAAAAAAAAAAAAAAAAGTAATCATGGCTGATATTTATTGAGCACTTATTGCTAGCCACAGTGCTAATCATTTTTCATATGTTGATTTATTTCATCCTCACAACAATTCTATGAGGCAAGTGTTAATAGTCTCATTTTATAAATGAGGAAACCCAGGCCCACCACAGTTAAGTATTTAGCAGAGTTGGTATAGTAGAACTTATAAGAATGAAGCAACTTATGCAGAGATATAACCACTGTTAGCTCCTTCCCTCTGGTGGCAGAGTGGCTGGGTGCAGAAGAATGGGCACATCTAGGGACTGTCAGTCACAAAAGCCAACCCAGAACTGGCCTTTTGCAAGATAGGGTTTTAGTATATGAGGCTCCAGAACAGCATCTTCAGCCACACTGGTGAACATCAGTGGAGGAGCCATTGTTCTATCTTGGCCTTAGTCATCCATAAGGAACCCACAAAAACTCTGTTTCTTGAGTTTCAGCTCTTGCAAGAAGTGGCATTCAAAGAAAAACAGTCCAAAGCAGAAATCACAATTGTTTTTTAAAAAAATGGAGTAGCTTTTAATTATTTAGTTTAAGAACTCTAACTCATAAGCAAATTTTCACATGATCCAGAACATAGCACTTATATACTATGAGTGAAAAAGCTCTTTGCAACACTGTGTAGATCCACAATTACTTCAAGATCCACAGTCCCTTATCTGAAACCTTTTTGGCCAAATATGTTTCAGAATTCAAAATTTAAAATCTTTTTTACATTTTTTAAAAATTTCCCTAGAAATGTTGGAGCAGGATGAAAAATCATTCCATTGCCTGGAAAAACTGAATTTGCATCTTTCACCCTCAAAAGACTGCTCCATCTCTCCTCTTACCCCAGTCAGAGCTGCCCTTGAGGTCAGCAAACCAGCCTCTGGTCTCTACTCCCTCCCCCTCCCCTTCTGTGTTCATCAATCTTTTGTCCTGCCCTCAGTAATTCTCTCTCCTTTCCCATGTAAGTCCCCTCCAGTTTGTTAACTTTGTCCACTGCCCTGATGCAACATACCTTCTGCAACGGGAGAGCAGTGAGGAAAGCTATGAATATTCACCCAGTAAATCTTTTTTCTGACACACATGCTTATGGAGTGAGTGCCAAGAAACAGCTGCAAGGGGAGTTGTGTTGAGGGACACTATTGTAGAACACTGTTGGCCTCCTGATTCTGCTTGGGTCCTACACACTCAGACAGTGAGAGCCCAAGGCAAAGGGGCCCAGGATGCCTTCATGGATTCCTCTCTATAGCGTGTGCCTCTACTGACCAGTGGGTTAAGACTATCTGTTATAAACATTACTTGGTAACCTAATACAAGCTCACTCCTGTTTTAATATTTTATATTATTTTATTAAAACCCAGTCAGTGGCACCCCATCTTTACTGTCGACCACTCTTAATTCACTTCAGTGGGTCTATGCACACCCTGAAATTATATGGAGAACGTTGTGAGTACCGGCATTTTCCTGGAGAGGGCGCCATAGTTCTCATCAGGTTCACCAAGGAGCCCATGACCCTTGGAATATAGTTCATAACTCCTGGACTCCAGAGAGTGGCCTGGGTACCACAGCAGAGGACTCTCTCTTTTTTTTTTAATTAAATCTTTATTGTTCAGATTATTACAGTTGTTCCTCTTTTTTCCCCCATAGCTCCTCTCCACTCTGTTCCCACCCCACCCTCTGCCCTTACCCCCCCCCCACTGTCCTCATCCATAGATATATGATTTTTGTCCAGTCTCTTCCCGTACCCCCACACCCCTACTCCCCTGAGAATTGTCATTCCGCTCCCTTTCTATGCCCATGATTCTATTATATTCACCAGTTTATTCTGTTCATCAGATGATTTATTCACTTGATTTTTAGATTCACTTGTTGATAGATATGTATTTGTTGTTCATAATTTTTATCTTTACCTTTTTCTTCTTCCTCCTCTTCTTAAAGGATACCTTTCAGCATTTCATATAATACTGGTTTGGTGGTGATGAACTCCTTTAGCTTTTTCTTATCTGTGAAGCTCTTTATCTGATCTTCAATTCTGAATGATAGTTTTGCTGGATAAAGTATTCTTGGTTGTCAGTTCTTGCTATTCATCACTTTGAATATATCTTGCCACTCCCTTCTGGCCTGCATAGTTTCTATTGAGAAATCAGCTGACTGTCCTATGGGTACTCCCTTGTAGGTAACTAACTGTTTTTCTCTTGCTGCTTTTAAGAGTCTCTCTTTGTCTTTTGCTCTTGGCATTTTAATTATGATGTGTCTTGGTGTGGTCCTCTTTGGATTCCTTTTGTTTGGGGTTCTCTGTGCTTCCTGGACTTGTAAGTCTATTTCTTTCACCAGGTAGGGGAAGTTTTCTGTCATTATTTCTTCAAATAGGTTTTCAATATCTTGCTCTCTCTCTTCTTCTGGCACCCCTATAATTTGGATGTTGGTATGCTTGAAGTGGTCCCAGAGGCTCCTTGCACTACCTTCATATTTTTGGATTCTTTTTTCATTTTGTTTTTCTGGTTGGGTGTTTTTTGCTTTTTCGTATTTCAAATCTTTGACTTGATTCTTGGGATCCTCTAGTCTGCTGTTGGATCTCTGAATAATATTTTTTATTTCAGTCAGTGTACATTTAATTTCTTGTTGATTCTTTATCATATCCTCCAAGGTCTCACTAGATTTATGGAGGATCTCACTAAATTTATTGGTGGTTTCTAGAAATTTTTTTAAAAACCTTATAACGGTGGTTTTGAACACTATATCCAGTAGTTTGCTTTCCTCCATTTCTGTCATTTGTGACCTGTTTCTTTGTCTCTGCTTTTTTTATGCTTCCCTGTGTTGGTAGAGTGGCTCTGTGTCCTCAATTACCTAAGGTGGACACTCTTGGTGCACCCCTTTGTGGGCTTTGTGCACAGTCTTGTTGCAGTTAAGCCTTGATTGTTGTAGGTATCACTGGGAGGAATTGACCTCCAGGACAATTGGCTGTGAGAATCAGTTGTGGTTAGGGTGGGAGAACTTCGGTGCTGAAGACACCCTTCTGGGGCAAGACTTGCTTCAGTGGGGCTTGGTGCTCACTGAGTCTGCCCCCTGTGTGTGTCCCTTATGGAGCTGAGGATTTATAATCTGGATGGTCTAATCTGACCACTGGGTACACTGGCTCTTGGATCTCCAAGGAGGTGCTAATTTAGCCTCTGCCTGAGGTTACCCAGCAGGAGCTACAGAGAGATCTGCAGATTCCTCTTCTTTGTTTGGAGTTTGTAGGTGCCCAGATGAGGCCCAGCTGTGAAGCAATGAAAGCTGCTGTGGGGCCTTGGGTCTTCTTTTGGATTTTCTGTATCTCTCTGACCCAGCTGCAGTTTGTTAGGTAATTTTAGATTTCAAAGGGCCAGGTCATTCATATGCAAAAGCATCTGTGCACAGCTTGGGTGGGGCGGGGTCTCAGGGAATCAACAGGATGGAGCAAACAGCTATGGCTGATCCTCAGCCCTGCCCTAAGATGCCCCGGGTCTCACTCTTCCGTGGTAATTGCTGTAAGCACCTCTGAGAGAAATCGTCCTCAAGTTCTGCCCAATGCCAGATAGTCCAGTTTCTCCCTGTATGAGTCTGGGTCCTCAGAGACTCACCCGGAACTGGTGTTCAGAGCAGTCGGGAGCTTGTGCCTCCCTCCCGATTGAAAAAGCCAACCACGTCCTCAGTTGCCAGCTCTTTCCACGTGTGCCTCTGTACCTCTGCACTTTACTTCCACACCTCCTCTGAGTCTCAGTGTGCTTTTCTCTTTTTTTCTAGTTGTAGAATTTCCACTCATCCAGCCTTCGTGTGGTTCTGGATGATGTCCGTTTTGTCTTTTAGTTGTATTTTTGAAGTGTTTGTGTGAAGCAGCAATTTCAGGTGTTTACCTATGCCACCATCTTGGTTTCTATTTCCAGAGGACTCTCTTTAACTGTCCAGACCACAATAGCCAGTCCCTGCCCCCTGCTTTAAGCCCAGTAAAAAGTATACACCGCATCCCACACGCTGCCCCTGACTCATCCTGCTTTCTTGAGAGCCATTCCTCCCTTTGTTCCTTCTTCTCAGGCTCACACTTTATGTTGCCCAGTTGACCTTGACCACTTTACACCCTTCTTAGCTCAGGCCTCTTCTCCTCATGAAAGTCTTTCTTGAGCTCACTCTGGGCTCCTGCCTTCCCAAGCTCTTGCTGAATTATTTTGAAATATCCATCTGCAGTTCTGTCTCTCCCACTCCACTTTGCTCAACACCTTCACTACTGCCAGTACTGACCAGCAGCCCCTGAACGATGGATGAACAGATTACTCAGACACAGTATGACTATGAAAGACAGGGCTAAGGGGCTCCTGGCTCTAGTGGCCAGAGCAGCCTCAATTGCCTGTCTTGTTACCCTTTTGTTGCAGTTTTTATCTTTTGATACAATCAATAGGGTGAGTAATCTCAGGGGGACACAGGTGTTTACATTGTCATCTATGCAAGGGCATCCAGGGATTAAGCATAGGGATTCCAGTTAAGACCTGGGGTCTGTATGTAATCAGACTTGTTGGGAAAGGTCAGGAGATAATAAGGGGTGCCAATTTTGGCACTGCCCTATGTCTCCCCTAAGTCGGAATTCAGATAAACAGGGCAGGCGACCTTCCACACACTTCCCTTTTATCAGAATGTCCTCCTTACAACTTTCCAATCCAAGTCTCCTGTGCTCCCCAACACACCACAGTGACCATTACTAACAAGTTAACATAACCACACAGTCTAGCTCAGCACCTGACATATTACAAAAGGAGCAAAATATGTACATGTTTGTTGAAATGAATTGATACAAAACATATTATATCCTGAGTGAGGCTTCAAGGAGCTTTAATTAACACTGAAAAATAAATAATACTATATCTGTACTGTTTTACTTTTTTATAAGAGGATAAATTAATGTATTATTTCTATAATTTATAATGATTTCTAAAGAAATTTAAAATAATTATGCACAATAGTATGCACATAAGATGTTCATAAGTCAATGGTAGGTTTTTTCTCTTGACCAAAAAAGCAGTCCTATGTTCTCTTTTTCTAATACATACCAGAATGTACTAGAAATGTTGTTTACCAGGGTCTTTGAAATTATCTTACTTATTTAGGACAATGTATCTGAATGCGGGTTTTGCTCATTAACACTGCCCTTTTGCCTACTCTTTCTTTGTCAAGCCGAGGGCCCTGTGGTGACCTCCCAGTATGACTGCTATGGCTGCCTGCACACCATAAGGACTGTCCCCCCGGACTTCGACCCTGTTCTGAGACATGCCATTCAGCATTTTAACAACCACACTAATCATTCCCACCTCTTTGATCTTAAAGAAGTAGAAAGGGCACAGAGACAGGTTTGTGATTTAGTTTCCATTTCTCACAGTATTGCTAAAATTTGTTGTATCTTTATGTTTAGGGTTTCATAACCTAAAATAAACCATTGGTCAATAGAAAACCTATGATTCCGTTACTGGTGGTGAGGGAGCTCTTTTATGTCCTCATCTGACTGGCATAGGAGGTAAAGCGCTTTCTCTTGAGTCAAAGTGATTGGGATACTACAATATATAAAGGGCAAAAGTGTGGCTAATCAGACCCCTGGCTCTGAGGTTGGTTTTATTGAATGGGTAGTCAGAAATACATGTTTTTCTTCGAGATGGTGAGATGAAAAGATCATTCTAGCCTTAAGGTTTTAAGAAAAGTACATTATCACTTAGCCATCATGAGTCAAACATGGCTCCAAAATATGAAATGGAACCCAAACAGTTGGCACGGCTTTCTGAGCACTCTCTAAATTATAGCTTTCATATCATTAAAAAAAAGTAACACTCGGAAATCTGGCCTCTTCATTGACCCAGTTCACTAAGTCTTTACTGACAGTTGACTGGGTTCCTTGTATTTCAGTGTCTAATTATGAGGGACTTACTTTAGTCAGTAACATTCCCTGCTTTTAATAGACCATCCAACTTCCCTTCATACAAGATGCATGTTCTACTCAATTATGTTCATAGCCAGCGATCGGGGTGGGACTAGCCCAAGATAGAGCAGCACAAAGCTTACTGCCTGACTGTCTGGGAACCTGAGAACTTATCAGTAAAGGCCATTCTAGCTCCAATGTGTTTTTAACCATCTAGAAGAATATTATTAATATTTCACAAAATTCAAAAGGACATTATTTTTCTGTTGCTTGGCAGAGGTGATGTTGCTAGGTTTTTCTTAAGAAAATACAGTAACTCACGTATATATTGCTTTTTATTTTCAGATGTGAGTGTGTGTGTGTGTGTGTGTGTGTGTGTGTGTGTGTGTGTGTTGAGGAGTGTGAGAGTCATAAAGTGTTCAATATTTATTCAGTCATGACTTTTGCCTAGTACTAAGAGTTTATATTTTTGAGTACTTGCAATATGCCAGGCAGTATTCTAAGTTCCTCATAACACAGTGAATAATGTTTAAACTGCCCTTTAACTATTCAATTCAACATTGTTTCAGGTGGTGTCTGGATGGAACTATGAAGTTACTTACTTAATTCAGCAGACTAATTGTTCCAAGGAGAATTTTAAATTCTTAACCCAAGACTGCAAGGCCCTTCGCAGTGGTGTAAGTAGGCAAAAATTGAATTATAATGTTATTAGCATTTGGTGTCCTGTATTTACAGGTGTGGGAATACTCAGCCGCATAGGAAGACTTGTAAGATTTTAGATGACATGCATGAATTCACAGCCACATTCTCCATGTCACTAGTCAAGCTGCCTTACCTACCTGGTCACAAGATCTGTACATCTGGCAATAAGCATTTACAGATATAACCGGGGCTTGAGATAAAATGATGCCCTGTCAAGTTTGTCTGTTCATGTCTTCACACTTTCCTGTCTCCCTTTCTTCGCCACCTGCTTAAGGTCCTTCCCGGTGCTCCTGAGCCCTGCGCAGGACACTCCTTAACTTCAAACTTGCCTTTGCTTATTTTCCCCATCCCCTCCCCTCTCTTTTTATTTCTTTATTTTTAAAAATATAGTCCTGAGCCTCCATAACTGTATCAGAACCAAAATTATGTTACAAGAGAGTATCACAAGGTGGCAGTAGTTAGTGCATGTGCAGATGCCTAAGGCACAATGACCATCCCAGGGATATTTGCATTTTAGCAGAAAACTACTTTAAGCAAGGGATTGCTTCAAGCCCTTTAGTCTGTTGTTCTACTTCTACAATTCTATTATGTGGGAAGAAAATGAGGAACCCAGACAGTAAGATATTAATTTCAGCATTATTATTAATAGAAAAACATTGGAAATGTTTTCAACATTAGGGAATGTTTAAATAACTTACAGTATATCCACACAGTAAAATATATGCAGCCATTAAAGTATGTTTACAGAATTTTTTAGTGACTTAGTAAAATGGTTATAATATGGTAAGTTAAAAAATATATAAAATTATAGATACATATTCATTTAAATATATAAAGTAAATGTAAATATCAAAAGTGATGGAGGGGCCCTGGCTTGTTTGGTTCAGTGGATAGAGCGTCGGACTGCGGACCAAAGGGACCCTGGTTCAATTCTGGTCAAGGGCACATTACTCGGTTGCAAGCTCCTCTCAGCCCAGACCAGGCCCTGGTTCACAGCACGTGCAGGAGGCAACCTATTGATGTGTTTCTTTTCTTTTTTAAAAATGTATTTTATTGATTTTTTTATGGAGAGGAAGGGAGACGGAGAGAGAGTTAGAAACATTGATTAGAGAGAAACATCAATCAGCTGCTTCCTGCACACCTCCTACTGGGGATGTACCTGCAACAAAGGTACATGACCTTGACCAGAATCAAACCTGCGACCTTTCAGTCCACAGGCCAACACTCTACCCATGATGAGTTTCTCTCACACCGATGTTTCTCTCTGTCTTTCCCTTTCTCTGCCACTCTCTCTAAAGTCAATGGAAAAATATCTTCAGGTGAGGATTAACGACAACAAAATAGTCATGGAGGGGAGCATTTGAGAATTGCTCCCTGTCATATGTTGTTCGTTTGCCTCAAGTAAACTCATAAAAAAACATTAAGTGATAAAAAAATATGCAAATACATAAAACATAGTTGACTTTCAGTTGAAACTATGGCTGATTTTTTTTTTATTCTTTATACTTTTTGATACTCTTTAGTACTTGCCAATGTTTCTAATCAAGCATGTATTTATTTAATAATTGGGAGAAAAGTTAAAAGGATACTATTAAGAGAGTGAAAAGACAACCCAGAAAATGGGAGAAATTATTTACATCATATATCTAATAAAAATTAAGTATGCAATATATAAATAACTCCTATAAAACAATAATAAAAAGACAATCAACCTAATTTTCAAATGGGTAAAGGACTTTAAAATAAACATTTCTCTAAAGAAGATATGCAAACAGTAATTAAACACATGAAAAGATGCTCAACATAATTAGCTACCTGGGGGGGAGGGGATGTAAAACAAGTCACAATGAGATGCCATTTCACACCTAAAAGATGGCTATAATTTTTTAAAAATTAGAAAATAACTAGTATTGGGGAGGACGAGGAAAAATTGAAACATTTGTACAAAAGTACATTTGAGTTTACTAAAAGCTAGAGGGAGGGAAAATGGGGACTCATTACTTAATGGGTACAGAATTTGTGTTTAGGGCAGTGGTCGGCAAACTGCGGCTGGTGAGCCATATGTGGCTCTTTGGCCCCTTCAGTGTGGCCACAAAGTTTCAATCCCAGTGTATGTGCGTGCCCGCACTTGGTATTTTGTGGACGAGCCACACTCAAGGGGCCACAGTTTACTGACCGTTGGTTTGCAGGGGTGGGCAAACTTTTTGACTCGAGGGCCACAATGGGTTCTTAAACTGGACCGGAGGGCCGGAACAAAAGCATGGATGGAGTGTTTGTGTGAACTAATATAAATTCAAAGTAAACATCATTACATAAAAGGGTACGGTCTTTTTTTTTTTTTAGTTTTATTCATTTCAAATGGGCCGGATCTGGCCTGCGGGCTGTAGTTTGCCCACGGCTGGTTTAGGGTGATGAAAACTACTGGAAATAGAAAAACCAAGATGGCGGCATAGGTAAACACCAGAGATTGCTGCCTTGCACAACCACTTCAAAAATACAACTAAAAGACGGAATGGATATCATCCAGAATCACAGGAAGGCTGGCTGAGTGGAAATTCTACAACTAGAAGGAAAGACAAAAGCATACCGAGACTCAGAGTGGTGCGGTGCAGAAGTAAAATACAAAGGTGCAGAGGTGCATGCGGAGAGGGCTGGCGACTGAGGACACAATTGTCTTTTTCAATCGGGAGAGGGTCTCAGGCTCTGAGCTCCAGTTCTGGGTGAGTCTCTGGGGATCCAGACTCATACGGGAGAAATGGGACTGTCTGGCATCGGTGGGAACTCGAGGGCAGGTTTCTCTCCGAGGCACACTCAGCAATTGCCCGCGCCTTTGAGGGCAGGACTGAGAGCAGCCATACTGCTCGCTCCACCCACCCTGTTGATCCCTTGAGAACCCGCCCTGCCCAAGCAGTGCACGGAGGCTTTTGCATATGAAAGGCCCTGCCATAACCGGTTTGGCTCAGTGGATAGAGCATCTGCCTGCGGACTGAAGGGTTGCAGGTTCGATTCTGGTCAAGAGCATGTACCTTGGTTGCGGGCACATCCCCAGTGGGAGGTGTGCAGGAGACAGCTGGTCAATGTCTCTCTCTCATCAATGTTTCTAGGTCTCTATCTCTCTCCCTTCCTCTCTGTAAAAAAATAATAAAAAATATTTAAAAAAAAAAAAAAAGAAAGAAAGGCCTGGCCCTTTGTAATCTGAAAATTACTTAACAAACTGCTGCTGCCCCAAGGCCCCAGGGCAACTTGCATTGCTTTACAGCTGGCTTCTGCTGAGTAGCCTCAGACAGAGGCTTGATTAGCACCTCCTTAGATCCAAGAGCCAGTGTACCCAGTGGTCAGAGTGGGACCATCCAATTACAACTCTTCAGATCCATAAGGGACACACTCAGGGGGCAGACTCAGTGAGCACCAAAGCCCCACTGAAGCAAATCTTGACCCCTTAAGGGTGTCTTCAGCACAGAATTCTCCCGCTGTAGACACAGCTGATTCTCACAGCCAATTGACCTGGAGGTCAAATCCTCCCAGTGTTACCTACAACAATCAAGTCTTAACTACAACAAGACTGTGCACAAGGCCCACAAGGGGGTGCACCAAGAGTGTCTACCTCAGGTAATTGGGGAGGCTGAGCCACTGGGCCCTATAGGACACTTAGCACAGAAAGCCACTCTATCGACACAGCGAAGCATAAAAAATGCCAAGACAAAGAAACAGGACACAAATGACATAAATGGAGGAAAGCAAACTACTGGATATAGAGTTCAAAACCGCACTTTTAAGGGTTTTCAAGAATTTTCTAGAAACTGCCGATAAACTTAATGAGACCCTCAAGAAATCTAGTGAGATCATCAATGTTGTGATAAAGGACCAACTAGAAATTAAGCATACACTTACTGAAATAAAGATCATTATACAGACTCCCAACAGCAGACCAGAGGATCACAAGAATCAAGCCAAAGATTTGAAATACGAAGAAGCAAAAAACACCCAACTGGAAAAACAAAATGAAAAAAGAATCCAAAAATACGAAGATAGTGTAAGGAGCCTCTGGGACAGCTTCAAGCGTACCAACATCCAAATTATAGGGGTGCCAGAAGAAGAGAGAGAGCAAGATATTGAAAACCTATTTGAAGAAATAATGACAGAAAACTTCCCCCACCTGGTGAAAGAAATAGACTTACAAGGCCGGGAAGTGCAGAGAACCCCAAACAAAAGGAATCCAAAGAGGACCACACCAAGACACATCATAATTAAAAATGCCAAGAGCAAAAGACAAAGAGAGAATCTTAAAAGCAGCAAGAGAAGGAAAGTCAGTTACCTACAAGGGAGTACCCATAGGACAGTCAGCTGATTTCTCAACAGAAACTTTGCAGGCCAGAAGGGAGTGGCAAGAAATATTCAAAGTGATGAATACCAAGAACCTACAACCAAGATTACTTTATCCAGCAAAGCTATCATTCAGAATTGAAGGTCAGATAAAGAGCTTCACAGATAAGGAAAAGCTAAAGGAGTTCATCACCACCAAACCAGGATTATATGAAATGCTGAAAGGTATCCTTTAAGAAGAGGAAGAAGAAGAAAAAGGTAAAGATACAAATTATGAACAACAAATACACATCTATCAGCAAGTGAATCTAAAAATCAAGTGAATAAATAATCTGATGAACAGAATGAACTGGTGATTATAATAGAATCAGGGACATAGAAAGGGAATGGACTGACTCTTCCTGGGGGGGAAAGGGTTGTGGGGGATGAGGGAAGAGACTGGACAAAAATCGTACACCTATGGATGAGGACAGTGGGTGGGGAGTGAGGGCTGAGGATGGGGTGGGAACTGGGTGGAGGGGAGTTGTGGGGGGGAAAAAGAGGAACAAATGTAATAATCTGAACAATAAAGATTTAATTTAAAAAATGGTCATGATATATGATATGTAAAAAAGATAGATTACATATCGTACTAGAGGCCCAGTGCATGATATTTTTGCTCTGGGAGGGGGGTGGCCCTCAGCCTGGCCTTCACCCTCTCTAATCAGGGACCCCTTGGGGGATGTCTGACTTGCAGTTTAGGCCTGCCCCCAACTGCCCTCCCCTACTGGCCTGATCGCCCCCAACTGCCTTCCCCTGCTAGCCTGATCTCCCCAACTGCCCTCTTCTGCCACAACCCACCTCCGCTGGACCCCGCGAGTCTCTCTCATCATTGGTGTTTCTATCTCTCTCCCTCTCCTTTCCTCCCTGAAATCAATAAAAATGTATTTAAATTAATTTGAGAAGAATTGATGTATGTATATATTTTGTCTTTTCAGTCAAGAACTTGGCATACATCTATACTTAGTCAAGTTTTATTTTAAACTTCTAAAAGTTGTGTGATTTTATTTATATATCCAGAACTTTGCTCACTAAAGTTATTTCTAGGTGTTATAGGGGTTTTGTTTTGTTTGTTTACTTTTGTTTATTGCTCTGAAAAAATTACATTTTGTTTTTCATTTTATTTTATTCTTTTTAATGTTATTTTTATATAAATGTATCAATTTAGACATATTTAGCTTATATTCAGCAAGTGAGCTCTAATTAACTCTAACAGCTTTGCATTCATTCTTTTGATTGTTCTAGGTGTTAAATAAGATATTGTTTTATCTCCTCTTTTCCAATGCTTATGTTTTTTTTTAAATATATATTTTATTGATTTTTTACAGAGAGGAAGGAAGAGAGATAGAGAGTTAGAAACATCGATGAGAGAGAAACATCGATCAGCTGCCTCCTGCACATCTCCTACTGGGGATGTGCCCACAACCCTGGTACATGCCCTTGACCGGAATCGAACCTGGGACCCCCCAGAGTCTGCAGGCCGACGCTCTATCCACTGAACCAAACCAGTTTCGGCCCAATGCTTATGTTTTGTTCTATGTCTCAATGAATTGATCAAATTTCCAGAGATATTCCACACATCTTTGTTTCATTCCTGATTTTATTAGGAAAGCCTCTACAATTTTGTCATTTATAATATTTGCTATGGGTTCCAGGTAGGCATTCTTGTCATATTAAAGAAGCATCCTTGCATTCCTGCTTTTAAAGAAGTTTGTTTAGTTTTTAAATAAGATATTGGTGCCGAAACCGGTTTGGCTCAGTGGATAGAGCGTCGGCCTGCGGACTGAAAGGTCCCAGGTTCGATTCCGGTCAAGGGCATGTACGTTGGTTGCGGGCACATCCCTAGTGGGGGATGTGCAGGAGGCAGCTGATCGATGTTTCTCTCTCATTGATGTTTCTAACTCTCTATCTCTCTCCCTTCCTCTCTGTAAAAAATCAATAAAATATATTTAAAAAAAAAAAAAAGAAATTGGTGTTAACAGACTCATAGATACAGAGAGCAGATGACAGCGGTCAGAGGGGAGACTAGAGTGGGGTTAGGTGAGAAAGATGAAAGAATTAAACAAAACAAAACAAAACAAAACCCAAGAACTCACAGACACAGATTACCAGAGAGAAGGGTTGGGGGAAAATAGAAGAATATTAAGGGAGGATAAGTGATGACAGAAGGAGACTTGACTTTGGGTAGTCAACACTCAATACAATATACAGATGATGTATTATAGAATTGTACACTTGAAACCTATATAATTAACCAATGTCACCCCAACAAATTTTTTTTAATTTAAGAAAAAAAAGAAATTTGTGTTCGAATTTAGCAAATGCTTTAAATATGTATTGAAAAAATATCATGTTATGTATTTCTAATTCAATCTGTTATTTTGTTTTGACAAGTTTCCTAATAGTAAACTTAGATTCATAAACTATTTGCTTAGAGTTAGTTATTCTTTAAATATGCATTTGGATTTTATTTTTAGTTCAAGAAGTCTACCTCTTTATAAGTGAAAGTGGTTTGGCAGTTTTCTAGGCGTGGCTGTGTGTGCATTCTATTTTTTCAGGTTTTAGTATCCAGATTATACTACATAATAAAAGGGCAATATGCAAATTGATCCTAACAGCAATACGACCAGTCGTTATGGTGCACACTGTCCACCAAGGGGCAGATGCTCAACACTGGAGATGCCCCCTTGTGGTCACTGCATTTCCACAGGGGGAGCTCCGCTCATCCAGAAGCCAGCTATAGGGTAGCTGCAGTGGTGGGAGCCTTTCCCGCTTCTGCAGCAGTGCTAAGGATGTTCAACTAACGGCTAAGGCCTGCTCTCACTGGGTAGCAGGCTGAAGCCATCAGTCAGACATCCTCCAAGCCAGTGGTTCCAAACCTTCTGGCCCCTTAAATATAGTTTCTCATGTTGTGACCCAACCATAAAATTATTTTCATTGCTACTTCATAACTGTAATGTTGCTACTGTTATGAATCATAATGTAAATATCTGATATGCAGAATGGTCTTAGGTGACCCCTTTGAAAGAGTCGTTCGACCGCCAAAGGGGTCATGACCCACAGGTTGAGAATCGCTGCCCCAAGGGCTCCTGAGCTGCCAGAAGGATGTCTGACTGCCAGCTTAGGCCCACTCCCTAGGTGCCTAAGCCAGCAGGTGGACATCCACTGAGGGGTTCCAAACTGCTAGAGGACGCAAGCTGGGCTGAGGGACCCCTCTGAGTGCACGAATTTTCATGCCCTGGGCCTCTAGAAGTTTCCTGGAATGAATTGAGTATGTGTTACATGCAGTTGAGTCAGCTCTGATTCCTAGTGACCCTGTGAATGAGTGATGGCCACACTGTCTTGACCTCAACAGCTCTGCTGAGCACCTATAGACTCATTTCTATGGCTTCTTTTATGGAGTCAGTCCATGTCATATTTGCTCCTCTGCTTTCCCTACTGCCTTCTATTTTTTAGTTAGGTGGTTAGCCACTATTTTTTGGCTTGGGTAGCTTGCCACTATTTCCTATATTCAGAAACAGTTTACATAGGAAGGAACTAAATGTTTCTTTAATTTTAAAAATTATTCATCTATAAAACATCTATGTTGTTTGGAGGTGAGAAAAGGAAGTAGTTTCTTGTTTATTTGTTTAAATATATTTTTAGGAACTTTTTTCTTTTGGTGCTAAAGTCAAAGCACATGACCTGTATTGATTCAATTTGGAAGTTTATTGAGCCTTTCTTGTAACCTAATGTGAAAGCAATTAAAAATATCTATATCATACTTATAAAAATATCATTTAAGTCATATGGATCAAATGAAAATACCACCTAAATATATTTTTATTATTTTATTTATTTTTTATCCATTTGGTCTATCTTAAATTTATAGTTGTACATAAAATTTCTCCACCACCATTATTTTAATCTATTTCTACACATATATATCTAATTTCTGCTTTATGTATTTTAACTCCATGCTTCTAGACTATATCTTTATAAAAATAAAATTATCTTGTTTACTACCATCTTGAGTTTTTTGTTACCTTGAAGTTTACTTTGTCCAATATTAATAATACTCAAGATCCTTTTTCTGTTTATATTTGCTTCATATAGTTTTGATCATTCATTATATGTAACCTACCTTTATCTTTTATATTACAAGATATTATTCTTGAAAAATGTAATGCATTAATTTTGTTTTTAACTTAATACAGAAGTCTTTGCCTTTCTCTTTTTAAAAATGTTTTTATTGATTTTTAGAAAGAAAAGATGGGAGAGTGATAGGGAGATAGAAATACCAATGAGAGGGGAATATCATTGATCAGCTGCATTCTGCATATCCCACTATGGGGATTCAGCCCACAACCCAGGCATGTGCCCTGACCAGGAATCTAAACATGACCTCTTGGTTCCTGGGTGGACACTCAACCACTGAACTACACGGGCTGGTCCTGAATTCTTTGTTTTTCTAAAAGAAATTTTACCCATTCAAATATATTATTTCTTAAATATAATTTGTTGACTTCAAGGAGGAAGGAAAAGAGCAAGAGAGATAGAAACATTGATGAGTGAGAGAACCATTGATCAGCAGTCTCCTGCACACCCCACACTAGGGATCAAGCCTGCAATGTGGCCATATGCCCTGACCAGGAATCAAACCATGACCTCCTGGTCCATAGGTTGATGCTAAACCATTGAGCCATGCTTCCTGGGCTATATGATTATTATTTCTATACTAGGTATTCTTGTCATCTTATTTCATATGTTTGTGTAAGTACATTTTTTGTTGTTGATGTTAATACCTAACTGTTTCTTATTCTCTCTTTTGCAATGAGGTTATGTTTTGTTTTGTTTTCTATGTAAAGTCAACATCCTATATTTAATGTTACTAGTTGTTTACTTTAAAAGTTCTTAAAAACATTTTTAACTTATTTACTTTTGAAAAACTAGGATACCGTTGAATGTACAGATCTTGCATACGTGGATCCTCAGCTAAGAATTGCTTCCTTCTCACAGAAGTGTCAGATTTTACCAGGTATGCGATAATACATGTTTGTGCTCTAGTAGTACATGTTGATCCCAGACAACTGGCTAGGGGTTTTTATAGGAATTGTGCTTTAGGTCCCATGATATAATCAACAACCCTTACAGCTGTACCCTATTTCTGCACAGCTGTGGTGTAGCTGATGCAGTTGGGACTGCTCTGCAAGTGGCCAGAGGGAATATGGTGACAGAAAAAGATTTATGTTCTTTGGGCAAAGCTGATCTCCAGATGCAATGTCAGCTGGTCTTCCTTGTGTATAAGATGTCACTACATCAGGTGTTATAAATTGGGGAAGCTGTATCTCCTATTTAATTACTCAGAATAAGTTCTTTCAATTAAATACTTTTTTTCTCCTGCATGTTATAATGGGGGGAAAGTGAGATAGTGCAAGTTTATGGTCAAACCAGTGTTTCTTATACCAAGAGTTGGCTTTTCTCATACTTGGAAGATATTTGCATACATTCCACAGTGAGAAGCATCATTGAAGCTCCCTGCTCACCAGAATCAGAGGACTTAAAATTTTCCCACTAGAGAATCATTCCTTTAAATTAAGCATTGCTTTTTTACACTCTTTCAAAAATGCAAAATAGGAACAGTGCAGCACATTGATATTGAAGGTGTACTAACTAACACCTTCTGATGGAAGGCTTCCCTAAATGCCCTTGACTCTGAGGAGAGGAAAAGAGGGCAGGCAGTAAGGTGAAGGTCACACAGACAACCTCTACCCACTCACTACTGGCCTTAGGCTGCACATGGCCCCATATAAATGAGTGCTGGACAATGTGCAGGAGAGGTCCTAGGCTAGACTGCTCCTTCAGTACACACACTGACTTAAAACCTGATTCTTCTTTCAGGGGAGGATTTTGTACCACCATCTCGCAGAAATTGCCGTGGCTGCCCCGAAGAGATACCTATTGACCACAAAGCCCTGCCCTAATCTGAAGGATGCTCTGACTCATTCCATTACAAACCTTAATGCAGAGAATAATTCAACTTTCTATTTCAAGATTGACATTGTGCACAGAGCAACATCACAGGTCTGTAAATTGAGCTACAAAAATAGTGATATTATAGTCTATGTGCGAACTGCTTACTAATATTGCCGCTGATCTTGGAGGGGGGAAATAGTGTACCTGGTAAAAAGAATTGAATATCAAGTCTCAACCTCACTATATGCTTGCTATGTGGCCTTGAAAAAGTCATTTAGAACATTTTCTGTCTTTAAAGGATTGGGGTGAGACTCAAATAAGCCTTGGCCAGGTAACTCAGTTGGTTAAAACATTATCCCTATATGCCAAGGTTGCAGGTTCAATCCCGTCAGGGCACATGCAAGAAGCAACCAGTGTATTCATAAATAAATGGAACAAACAAAGAGAGATATAATATATGTCAATACATTATCTTCTCGAAATTTAAAGTGTTATATAAATTCTAGCAACTATTATATAATTAATAAAATGTAGGGCAAGGAAAAGCTACTCTTATTCTCTGCCTCTCTAGAGTTGTTCCTTGTTGTAGCATCACTTAGTGCCTTGGGATCAGCCACATGTCAGTCTATCATCACCCAGACTCTCTTCACACTCTCACCTCCATGTCACTTCCCCCTTGCCTACGTGTCCTTCCAGCCCACAAATGTACCCTCTAGGACAGTGGTTCTCAACCTGTGGGTCGCCAATCTGTGGGTCGCGATCCTTCGGGGGTTGAACAACCCATTCACAGGGGTAGCCTAATACCATCGGAAAACACATACATAATTACATATTGTTTTTGTGTTTAATCACTATGCTTTAATTATGTTCAATTTGTAACAATGAAAATACATCCTGCATATCAGATATTTACATTACAATTCATAACAGTAGCAAAATTACAGCTATGAAGTAGCAACAAAAATAATCTTATGGTTGGGGGTCACCACAACATGAGGAACTGTATTAAAGGGTCGCGGCATTAGGAAGGTTGAGAACCACTGCTATGGCTTCATCTTTTCTTCCATGCCCTGTCAAAAGATAAGGAGCATCCTAGTCTGGGGGTCAGAAGACCCAGTTCTACCAGAGCCTCAGCCCTCATGTCCTGGGTAACCCCGGGCTGTCATTCAGACTCACTCAGTCTTGTGGCCCCATCTGTAAAATGAATGGCTGGGTGAGAAGAGCCCAAATTTCTTCCAACTCTAACAGCATCTGAGTAATCTATTCATGGGCAGATTCCTATTATAAACCTCAAAACTGGCCTCCCTAAATGTGAACAAAATAGAACCAACAAAAGTAATCAAAATAAAACCAAACTGTTTCAGCAAACCAACATAATCTGATGGGGGGAGGGGTACTTCAATTATAACAATTCATACTTTTGGCTCAGTAATTGAATTTCTAGAAATTTAAAATAGAGTCTTTATAGACAATGATACTCATTGCAGCTTTAACTATAAAAGACAACATGGTAAACTGTCAAAACGATCAATAATACAGAAATGATCAAATACTGTCTGGCATATCCTTAAAATAGAGTATCAAGGAGCAATTTTAAAGCATCGTTGTGAGGAGTTCTTGATGTAGGAAATGCCTTGTGTTAAAATATGCAGTGGGGAAAAAAGAGGCCATAAAATTGACTATACATTCTGTTGTCAGGTGTGTTATAAAAAGTACAGAAAACAATACTGAAAGGAAACAAATGCCTCCAACTATTCACAGTGGTGGGCTTTAGGTGATGGCACAATGGGGTTTACTTTCATCTTCTAATTTCCTGTATTAGTTTCTCTACTGCAGGGGAAACCTAACCAAATGGTATTAAAATAAGTCAAAACTGACACTTTGCTCTCTCTCCTACTCAGGCACTTATTCCTGCCCCTGACACCACAACCTTTCTCCCTCCTTTCAGGGACACATGACCCATGTTAGTGGTGTACTCACATGGTTCACCAATCCATGCAATTCTTTTGTTTAATTTGAATTCTTTATTGTCTAAAGTACTGCATATGACTCCTTTTCCCCCATTAACCTCTCCCAGGCCGGTCCAACTGCCAGCACATTCCCTCACCCCCTAAGGTCTTTTTCCATTGGTTATGCTTAGATGCAAGCATACAGGTCCTTTGATTGATCTCTTACCCTCCAGGCCCCTGCTTTCCCTCTGAGGTTAAATGGTCTTTTCGATGCGTCTATGTCTCTGAATCTATTTTTGTTCATTAGTTTATGTTGTTCATTATATTCTACCAATGAGTGAGATCATGTGATATTTATCTTTCTCCAATGGGCTTCTTTGGCTTAGCATAATGCTCTCTGGCTCCATCCATACTGTTGCAAATGTTAAGAGTTCCTTCTTTTTTACAGCAGCATAGTATTCCATTGGGTAGATGTACCACCATTTTTTAAGCCATTCATCTGCTGATGGACACGTAGGCTGTTTCTAAATCTTACCTTTTATAAATTGTGCTGCTTTGAACATAGGGGTGCATATATCCTTTTTTAATTATTTACTTTTAAAGTATTTCATATGTCTCCTTTTTTCTCCATTGACCTCTCCCCTGCCCTTCCCACACCTAGCACACGCCCTCACCTCCCTAGTGTCTGAGTCCATGGGTTATGCTTATAGGCATGTATACAAGTCCTTTGGTTGCTCTCTTACCCACCCACACCCCCCAATGCTATTCTTGTGTTTGTCAGCTTTTCTTCTCACTTCATATTTCTGCTTTCTTGTGAATCTCCCTTATTCTTGATGCAGGAATACCATCTACTCCACCATATATTGCATATCAGAGGTTTGCTGTCAGGAGAGAAACACTCATTTTATACATGACTATCTAGTCTTCATAGTACTTATAGTTCTCTGTAAATTAATGAATCAATATTCTAGCGTGGTATGTTTTGTTTATGCTGAGGATGCTAGAGGAACAACAATAGGCAATGTTGTTAATTGAAGGGAACTGTCATTCCTTCACTTGCCAAGTCAATTTGAAATATGTTGAGAATCTCAAACTTACTTACAAAAGATGAATCTTTACTGGTTTTTACATTTAAAGAGAACAATTTGGCTGTTCTGACATGATTATTCAAGGAAGCCCTGCTGGAAGCAGCCGAGTTACTCGAAATCCATTTACCATGTGATGAATTTGCCAAATGACCAATTTTTGCCAAAGATTTATTTTACAGATTTGGTCTTGCCTTGGCTTTGCATATTTAGTCCTATTTGGATGCATGTCCATTTCAAGCTGGTTTCAGATGCCAAATGTTTCTTAAATTCTCCATTTGCACATGTGAATATTGTGATTTCTGTCATAGGCCATTTATTTTGCCCTGCCTCTGCCGCCACTGTCCCCACTGTTGTCCATATTCCTCCCTGTTTTTGCTCAGATGAATAAACTTCAAGGACCTCTGTGTGTGCACATTCAGGAAGTTTTCCTTTAACAAAGTACTAGAAATGTCAAGGCGTATGTATAGTATGTCTAAGACTTCTGATGCAAATTGCCAAATTGCCAAACTGTTTGCAATTATGCCAATTTACATTCATACCACCTGGCCATAGGACCTTGATCATCTTGCTTTGAGTTCTATTCCTACCAACAGTGACTGAGACTGTGTGCTCCCCACACGTGGCCAATACCAGGTATCACCTCTGTCTTTTATCCTTGACAGCATATGGGAGATTAACAATGCTGTTGCGTTGTTGGTTTTTTTTTGGTTATTAATGAAGATAGTCATTTTTTCTGGCTTAATGACCATTTTTTGTTTCTGGCTTAATGATCATTTAAACTTATTTTCTGAAATACTTGTTCATGTATTTTGTTCATTTTTTCATGTTGGGCTTTACATGCATAAGAATATTAATCTTATACCATATTTCCCCAGCTTTTATTTTTTTACTTTGCTTGCTGTGATGTTTGAGAATCAGTTGTCCTTTCTGTCTGAACAAATTTAGACTTTTTTTCTCCATTTATATTTTCTTCCTCTGGTTTTCACCTAAGAAAAGCCTTCTTTCTCTTGAGACCTGATGGGTACATATTTATATCTTTTGAGCTTATTTCTTTAATTTAAATTGTTAATACATTTGGAATTTATTTTGCTATGTGGTTATCTCTACTTTAAAAACAAAGGTTGAGCAGGATGGGTTTGAGCAGGGAAGACTTTTGATAAAAATGACACCTGATAATAACGGCAATATAGATGCCATCCTGAGGCCCTCAAATGGAAGATTTACATATATTTAATTCCTTCTTCTTGACCCTGAATAGAGTTGAGCCATCAGTTGTGGTTTGTGTCACATATTGTCCAGTTTCTTAGGCAACATTACTGTGATCAACATTATTGTTACAGAAAATTGGATTAAGATATATTCTAAACTGAGCAAGAAAACTTATGATCACCAAAATATAGACCCTATAACCCTCTTAGAACCTTCCTCCCCATTTACACCTATACCTGGAGTCTTAAAAGTTAAGTATCAAATTTTTCTTAAAAATGTAACCATGTTTACCCAGCAGATCAATGCCAGAAAAAGTAGAGGGGGAGCTTAGCTCTTCCTATGACTCTGTTCTCCTGCTCTCTTCCTCCCGCCACACGTTTTCCATGCTTTTAAAAAACAGAGAGAAAGGGAAGGCAGCTGTGTTTTGCTTTTTCAAACGACATTCTACTATTACCCTGTGATTTCATTTATTTTATTTTTTAATATGCTTTTATTAATTTTAGAGAGAGAAGAAGGGAGAAGGAGAGAGAACCATCAATCCGCTGTCTCCTGCATGCCTCCCTCCCGCCCCCCACCTGGGGATTAAACCTGCAACTCTGGAATGGGCCCTGACTGAGAATCAAACTCAGGACACTTTGGTGCCTGGGATTATATTCAATGAACTGAACCACACCAACCAGGGCTGGAACTTCATTTTTAAAAATAATAGTCATCTCTCCAGGTCAACTGATATATTCATGTGTTCTTTTACACACACACACACACACACACACACACACACACACACATTTAGATCCTAGAATTAAGTACTGAATAACTTGAACTACAAATTGGGCCATGTCAACTAACTTTTTAACATACAATTTAAAGTCATTTTTACCAAGTGTATTTTTTAAGTGTAAGAGATGTAAGATATGGCATTTTGAAATGACTTTTAAAAAGCCATATGTGCAATTTTATTGAAGTCAGTGCATTTTAAAAAGCAGTGTGAGTTTAATTTTTTAAATAAATAAAGTGTGCCTCTTTCATATAAAATAAATAAATTGGGCCACAAAATATTCATTGTGGACACAGCATTGTATAAAGATTAAAACTGTTGCTACAGTACTGGCGAGTGTGGCTCAGTTGGTTGAACAATCCTACTGAGCAGCAAAAGCTTGTGGATTCAATTCCCAGTAAGGGCACATGCCCAGGTTGTGGGCTTGATCCCGAGTAAGGGGCATGCAGGAGGCAGCTGATCGGTGTTTCTCTCTCTCCCTCTTCCTTCCTCTCCCTCTAAAAATCCAGTTTAAAAAACTATTGATAGAGATTAAAATGGTTTCTTAATATAAAACAATTAAGAGAGGCAAACTACAAAATCCAAAGAATTTTCCTAATCACATAATTTAACCCACAATTTCTGTAGTGACACTAACTCGGTATTTCTCTGATTCAAGACTTGGAAAGACAATAAACCATACTTAAAGAAAATGTTTAAGTTTTTCTTCCTACTCTTCTTAAATTCTATTACAACTTGAGCGCTTGAATGTTATTGAATAATAAAACTCAGAAAAGTATAAAAATAAAAATTGTAGACCAAACAACAGCCAAATATTTTACACATGTATAGAAACTAAGAGTTTATTTGTCAAACATTTGTACTTTATTTGTATACCTCTCATTTGAGCAGTGTTTAATTAAAATTTTAATATTCTCCCCTAAGATCCCTTAGAGCAAAAACATATCATTTATTATATAATATTAATGAAGGTTCTACTTTGTGCTAATTAATTTTCCAGGTGGTGGCTGGATCAAAATATTTTATTGACTTTACGGCCAGGGAAACCACATGTTCCAAGGAAAGTAATAAAGAGTTGACTGAAAGTTGTGAGATCAATAAACTTGGAGTGAGTAGTCATGCAACTCTCTACTTATTCCCTGGAAATCTACTTGATATTTTATACTTGTTTAAGTATTTCATGAATAACACTGTTCTCTCTTTTGGCCTTTGTTTTCACGGATAGGAAATTCTAAGATGCACTGCTGATGTTTATGTGGTACCTTGGGAGAATAAAATTGACTCTACTGTCAAATGTCAATCACTAGGAAAGGTATGATTTAAATTTTGCTCATTCTGCAAAGTCCTATTTGGGGTTGAAAATGAACCACTATTTAAATGAATTGGGGGACTATCTTTTTAGAATGGAGAGAACTCTCACATTTCTGTGCTGACCTCTCCTTTTTATGTCTAGAAAGGAAAACAACAGTCAGTCCCCTAATCACTTCTCACCCTTTGTCAGTGTCCCATCCTTCAGGAGGCTCTCTCTTAATGAAGGGCAGCCCCTGCCTTGCAGAGCCAATACTAGCTCTGGGGCTTTAAGATGTGCCTGAGATGCTTCACTGGCATCTGTCTCCATCCATGGGACTTGGGAGAAATACAGATCTCAGACTCCACTCCACATCGACTGTATCCAAATCTGCATTTTAACATGGTCCCCAGGGCTTCATACCCACATTCAAGTGTGAGAAGCATTGGTTTTTATCATTTTCCAATTCTAAAGAGAATCTTGGGAGGTAAGCAAGACTTTTCCCATTGTTAAGGATGAGACACTAAAAATTACAAAGATAATGAGATCCTGAAGTGGATAGTAGTATGATCAAGTGCTTGCTCTGTCCCAGGCACTGTACTGAGGGCTTCACACATATTTTTCTCTTGACAACTCTATGAGGCGGGTTCCCTGTATAGGTATATATGTAATCTAACACAGACATTATATAAAGGCTCTGTTTCAAGCTTGTGAACATGACCTAATATGTTTCAGCCCAACAAAGTAATTGTGGGCACATGCTGCATATATATTTAGTCCATAAAGCTATTTTGGGTCTTTGGTATAAAAACTGTAATTGTGCTAATAGAATTAGTATCAATTAATAAATAATGTGCCATGGTATTATGTAGTTCAACCTCCCAATTTTTCCAGATGAAGAAAAACCTCTCCAGTTTAGAGGAGTATTATTAAGAAATATCCACAAATTATAAAATCAATTAAAGAGAAAAAGATATTCATTCTCATCCTTTCTTCAATATTAACATAGCATTTAATACCTGGCTATGACATTGAAGAGCGCTGATTTTTACCAAAAAAAAAGACAATATGGTTGTCTTTAATTGCTTCTAATATGAAGGAAGAACGCACTTCATAATCCTTGCTGTGTTCTGCCTAGATAAACAAGACAGGGCTTTAAACACCTACAGTTGCTTGTGGAGGCATATGCCACTGCTACTCCAAGTTATCAGATGCATTTGATCCTTTGAGTTTTTATTCCATTTCAAATATTATCTTTACTTTTCAATAAAGAACCAATGATGTCAGGAAAAAGTCTCCTCTTGACAACTGGTTGCTTCACTCTTCTCTTGTTGAATGATAACACCATATTAACAGAATTTTACTATACTTACAGAAGCAACTAAGGCCCTGCGTGTACAAGGGCCGACCTCGGGAGGCAGGGGCACAGCCAACATCTGAGAGTGTGGCCTCTTGACCAGTGGGCAGAATCTCCACGCCTGGCACAATAACCCCAGCAACCTGTCAGCAGCCCTGAATGGAAGGACAAGAAGATGGGATAGAATGTCAATAGAGAAGAATGCCATTTTATCATTCTGTTTCTGGGTGAAATAAAGTTTGATCTTAATGTTCTCACTCCTGGTTCATTCACAGTAGTCTGCTTTCAGCCACACCCATCCTGCAGCAAAGTCCAGTTGATCAGAGAGCACGCTCTACCATGGAGACTCATAGTGCAACTCTGGAACAGGCGGGGATCCCTTAAGTGGGCCTTCCCTACCACCAGGACCTCATCATGGGCTCTAAATCAAGGGTTTGTGGGTGATGTTTCCATCAGAAATGTACGGAATCTCTCTACCTTCCCTTCTTCCTCTCTCACCTTTTTTTGTTTCCCTCCTCCTGATTCCAGCCCAAAGTTAAGAGTGTTTTGTCTTGCTTTTTTCCTTTTTTTAAGATCTAGATAACCACCAAAAAAATAAAACAAACACAATTCTATGTAAATAGGACACTTACCAATTTTCACTAGCAAAACACATCAAACCTCAAAAAAGTTTAAAGAAAATTTAAAATTATCTTTCTGGTTCAAATAATGATAAAAAGTAGAAATCTAATAGAATCAAAAGTGATAAGAGATTTTTAATTTTCTGTAATAGGTATTTACTGAGTGCCTATTGGAGCCATTTACCATGCTAGACAGTTTCTGTTTGGTGTGTGACTTAGTCCTCACAACAACTCTGAGGTCCCCAGGACCACCTTTCATTTACAATGAGGAAACTAGCTCCCAGTGCCCTGCTCAGGGTCACATAATTACTACACGACAGAGCTGGCATTCATAGTCAGACCTTTTGAACTTCATTACACCAAGTTACCATGAGGTATTATTATCAATGTCGGCATTACAAAAACACATTTCTGAATCTGAGATGATCATTATCTCAATACAAAAACCCTTATTGAATATCTTATTGTGTCTGATGCTGTTCTGAGTACTGCTCAGGGTAAACTATGATGGAGTCAAGCACTGGCATTGGCTAGTTACTGTTTGTTTAGCACTAGGTACTGAAAAGAAGAGAAACAAGTGTTAAAAGACATAATTCCTGAAAGAATTTACAATCACATTGAGAAGTTACGACTAAAGCAGGTAGAACAACATTTAACCCATGCCATGATCATTTGTGGAGCAGTAAGCAGACCTGATGGATGGTATAGGAAGATATGGAAGACGTGGAAAGATAAAATTAAGCCCAACATTAGAGCATCTCCTAAGAAAATGAGTAAAGGTTGTTCAGTTGAGTGGGGGACACAAACACATAAAAACGTATATAAAGATTACAACCAGAGGTAGAGGTGTGCTTATGGGGCAGTGAGAGTAAAAAGAAAGAATCAAGTTTGGGAGGCAGTAAGCAAGCTGAGAGGGCAAGGACTTGTCTCTCACAGCACCATTTTCCCAGGACCGAGGCACAGTTAGTGTCATTTAGTGTCCACACCCATGTGTGGTCTTGAGACCACTGAGTTGACAGGGAAACATTATCTGGAACCCTCCGGTCTTGGGATAATTGTGCTGTCCTGGTTCCCAGGTACAGAGGAATTTGCTTTCTAAAACCAGTAAGATCACAATCAATGGGATTACAATCAATAAAGCATTCAATCTAATGGGATGACTTATATAATTCAGAAAATCAAAATAACTTTTCTATTGGTAAGCCAAACAGCAGGATTAGAGTTAAACTACAGTTTCTACCTGGGATGATTGCTACCATACTTCAACTGCTACTATTTGTCAAGTCAGTGATTTTGACCCTGACCTATACATTAAAATCACTTGCAGAACCTTTAAAACATGACTTAACAGGTCTGGAGTGATGGTCCTAGCAAGGTATTTTTTAAAAGTTGCCCCAGTGATTAAGAACTGTTACACCAGCAGTTGTACAATATGCCTTAGACCAGCAGCACCAGCATCTCCAGGAACTGGGAAGCTCAAATTCCAGCCCTTCCCCCAGGCTTATGGAAGGAGAAATTCTGGGAGTGGCCCCAACAATCCAGGTTTTAGCAAGCCTTGCAGGAGATTTTGATGCATGCTCAAGTCTGTGAACCACTGCACTAGATTGTTAGCTAAGTGAAGGCATGAACTAGCCGTGTTTGTCTTGTTCAGTGCCCTATTCCTAGGACTTACCACTGTGCCATATTACAATTCAGTTTACTTCAATTCAATTCAATTTTTTGTGAAGGCCTGTTCCAAACAAGCCTTCCCCAGTTTTCTACAGTTGAGGTTTGTACCACCCCTGACGTGGGCATGGTCACACAGGCCTGAAAGAGAGTATACAGGCTGCCAACTGTTAACTGTCTCTTAATAGAGACCAAAACCTGATGGGTATTCTTCTTTGCCCAGATGGGCACCTGCCCTCTCAGCAGCTACAGCTACATTAAAACCTGTAAGAGAATAAAAGGTTAATATAACATATTAATACAATGAAACATAATATTGGCACCATGGCCACTTCAGGCAGCTAAATCTTCTGCTACTACACATGATATATGGTAGGGCTATAAAAACATCTTAGGGATAGAGAAACCAAGATGGCGGCATAGGTTAACGCTGGAGTTTGCTGCCTTGAACAACCACTTCAAAAATGAAACTAAAAGATGGAATGGACATCACCCAGAACCACAGGAACGCTGGCTGAGTGGAAGTCCTACAACTAGGAGGAAAGAGAAACGCATACGGACACTCAGAGGAGGCGCAGTGCTGAAGTCAAATTCTGAGGTGCGGAGTGCGCGGAGCGGGCTGGCAGCGGAGGGCGCGGTTGGCGTTTTCAACCGGGAGGGAGTCGCAGACTCTGAGCTCCAGATACGGGCGAGTCTTTGGGGACCCAGACTCAAACGGGAGAAGCGGGACTGTCTGGCTTCGGTCAGAGCGAGTGCAGCTTTCTCTCCGAGGTTTGAAGCGGGTGCTGGGACTCAGAGAGGCAGAGCCCCTGGGGACAGGACTGAGAGCCGCCATAACTGCTCTTTCCAGCCCACCCTGTTGATCCTGTGCAACCCGCCCCGCCCAAGCCCTGCACAGAGGTATTTGCTGGATAGCCTCAGGCAAAGGCTAGATTAGCACCTCCCTAGAGGACAGAAGTTCTCTCACTGCAGACACAGCTGATTCTCACAGCCACTTGGCCTGGAGGTCAAACCCTCCCTGGTATTAGCTACAACAATCAAGGCTTAACTACAAGACTGCGCACAAAGACCACTAGGGGGTGCACCAAGGAAGCATAACAAAATGCGGAGACAAAGAAACAGGACAAAATTGTCAATGGAAGATATAGAGTTCAGAACCACACTTTTAAGGTCTCTCAAGAACTGTTTAGAAGCCGCCGATAAACTTAATGAGATCTACAAGAAAACTAATGAGACCCTCGATGTTATGATGGGGAACCAACTAGAAATTAAGCATACACCGACTGAAATAAAGAATACTATACAGACTCCCAACAGCAGACCAGAGGAGCGCAAGAATCAAGTCAATGATTTGAAATGCGAGGAAGCAAAAAACACCCAACCGGAAAAGCAAAATGAAAAAAGAATCCAAAAATGCGAGGATAGTGTAAGGAGCCTCTGGGACAGCTTCAAGCATACCAATATCAGAATTATAGGGGTGCCAGAAGATGAGAGAGAGCAAGATATTGAAAACCTATTTGAAGAAATAATGACAGAAAACTTCCCCCACCTGGTGAAAGAAATGGACTTACAGGTCCAAGAAGCGCGGAGAACCCCAAACAAAAGGAATCCAAAGAGGACCACACCAAGACACATCATAATTAAAATGCCAAGAGTAAAAGACAAGGGGGAAAACTAAGATGGCGGCATAGGTAAACACCGGGAAATTGTCGCCTCACACAACAATTGAAAATTACCGCAAAGGACTGAGCAAACATCATCCAGAACAACAGGAAGGCTGGCTGAGTGTAAATTCTACAACTAGAAGGAAAGAAAAGCACGCTGAGACCCAGAGGCACTGCAGAGGTGAAGTGCAGAGGTACGGCGGCTCGAGCGCGAGAGGAAAGGGCGTTGAGCCTGAGGATGCGGCTGACTTTTTGAATCACAAACGCCCGAATGCTCTGAACTCCGGTTCCGGGAAGTCTCTGGGGACCCAGGTCTCATACGGGGAGAAGCTGGTCTGTCCGGCAGCGGGCGAACTTGAAGGCGGCTTTCCCTCAGAGGTGCTTGCAGCCGTTACCGGAACACTGAAACGCGCGACTCCGGGCGGAGAATCGGCCATAGCTCCCTGATCCGCCCTTTGACTCCCTGAGACCCCGCCCCACCCAGGCTGCGGCAGAGGCTTTTGCATGTGAATGTACCTAACTGCAGCCCAGCCAGGCAGACCCGGAACTTCCAAGAGAAGGCCCAAGGCCCCGCAGCGGCTTGCATTGCTTCACAGCTGAGCCTCTTCGTGGCTCCTGCTGTGTGGCCTCAGGCAGAGGCTGAATTAGCACCTCCTTAGATCCAGGAGCCACTGTACCCAGTGGTCAGAGGGTACCAGACTGCAACTCCACAGATCCATAAGGGACACACTCAGGGAGCAGACTCAGTGAGCACCAAAGCCCCACTGAAGCAAGTCTTGCCCCAGAAGGGTGTCTTCAGCACAGAAGTTCTCCCACTTTAGACACAGCTGATTCTCACAGCCAATTGGCCTGGAGGTCAATTCCTCCCAGTGATTCTACAACAACCAAGGCACCAAGAGTGTCCACCCCAGGTAATTGGGGAGGCTGAGCTACTGGGCCCTACAGGACACCTGGCGCGCAGGGCCACTCTATCAACACAGGGAAGCTGCCAAAATGCGGAGACAAAGAAACAGGTCACAAATGGCAGAAATGGAGGAAAGCAAACGATTGGATATAGAGTTCAAGGCCACGTTTATAAGGTTTTTCAAGAATTTTATGGAAACCGCCGATAAATTTAATGAATCCCTCAATAAGTATAGTGAGACCATGGAGGACATGAAAAAGGACCAACTAGAAATTAAGCATACACTGACTGAAATAAAGAATAATTTACAGAGATCCAGCAGCAGACAAGAGGATCCCAAGAATCAAGTCAAAGATTTGAAATACAAAGAAACAAAAAATACCCAACAGAAAAAGAAAAAAGAA